CGAGAAATAAAACCATTTAATTTATAATTGAACTAACATTAGCTTTTTAAATACCAAATTCGTAACAATATTAACTTTCTCACATTGTCTTTCAAAAATTTGCAGGTAGGTTGCATGTCAGAAGTCTGTAATTAGGTATAGTGTTGAATGTGTTCAATTGCGCAGTTGAAGCAAGTGCTTGGATTGGCTAGCAGCTCCAGTTAATTTTAACGTTCCAATCTAATAAAAGTTCTGTTCTTTTCTTTGACGTGTCTCTAGATCGTTGCTTTCACGTTGTTTTTGTTGTCTAGTTTCGATTAAAGTTTCCAGAAGATTCCTGGTAAAAGCCTCATCATAAGTGTCAGAATTGACGATAAGATCTATTACTCGCATAGTGTCGTTTACAGTGAAACCCAGTTCTGTAGCGAGAGTTTTTAACCTTTAAGAGACGGGGCAGTTTGGAAAGGTTTCACTTAAAAAGACGGGAAATCCAAATGCATTTCTACCCCCTTTTAACTGCCATTGTAAAGGGAGACTACTACTCTTTTGGAACTTTTCCTGTAGGTCGCCTTTGGTGGTCGCCTTTGTTACTTTTCAGATAAGGGACTAGGGAATAATGTAAAAGAATTTGTTGAATTTGTTCTCTTTTCTGCTGTTTCTTTTCCTTAAACTAGGGAAACATATTATAATGAGATTTCGTAGCTAAATAATTGTCGTATGTTGGAATATTAACTTTTGACATTGCGTCATAATGAAAATACGCCTTAGCAACATTTGCACTCCTATAATTTGTTCATAGTTTATTCCGTTTTTATTTGTTTCCAAACTGAATTTAGTTTAGAATTACATATACTAATTAACGTTTTTTTAATTTAATACTCGAAAATGATGTTTAACTATTTGTTTCTCGTATAAATCGGCAGTTCGCTTTTATTTGTTTTCCAAGCAATTGTGTAACAGATTATATTTTATATATCATACAAATCCCGCACTCGTTGTATTTTTCTTATATTAGTTTAGTTTACCTTTTCTGATTAGTATTCTTACTTATTCAGTTTAATTTATTGATCCCCCCCCCATTGTATCGTAAGTAATTTCAACATCATTCAACTACATTATTGTCGTTCAATGTTCTTTTCGTGCAGTTTTGTGATAAAAGCTTTTTTTAAATAATCCTTTAGCATTTTTTAAAATTATTTTCCTTTACTTTAAAAACAGATTTTGATTATATTTTCATTGCATTGCACTCCATTACATTTTGCATGTTTCAAACAGCAATATTAAATACAAAAATTACAATAAAAAGGGGAAATATAAAGAAAAAAATACATTTTGAATGACACTGAAAAGTTGGTGAAATTAATCCTAGTGTCAAATTGCTAAGATTTTACTGCTGAGGGAAACGAAAGGAATTTACGAAACCCCACAGTCCTGGGAGGCGCGAAGGTCACATCGCATAAATGGAAAGGGAGGTTATTCGGACAATGACTATCTCCGCACCCTGAAGGCTGGGGGGAGGGGAATTCGCTGGCCGACATTTCGGCCACAGCCGTCTTTTTGAGACGCTACAGCTCTGGCCGATATTTAGGCCACCCGTCTTTTAAACGTTAATCCTCTTTTCGTGCTTTGGCAAGGTAAGCCATAATTATATGAGAGGTCAGGGGGGAGTGAAAAGATGAAATTGAATTTGTTGTTATTTTGATTTTCGACTTTATTCACAATACATGTAGTTTAGAATTAATAATTATACCTTTAAATAAAATGTATATACCACTATTAAACAGCATTTATATACCCCTATTAAACAAACATGTATAAATGTAAACAATAGTACACTTACATTTATATACCACTATTAAACAGCATTTATAAATGTAAACAATAATACTGGCAAAGTTTATCATATTCTGAGTCCATAAAAATATCATAAAATGCCCTTCATAAATTCAACTTGTATCCAGAAAATAACATATAATAATTGTTCAAAAATTGTTTACTACTTAGCAAAACATACAAAAACATACATAAATGTCTTACCATAAGCTTTTATATTTAAGCTGAATTCTTCGAAATCTTAATCTTAACAAAATATTAAGCTAAGTAAGCAACACACAGTAACTCTGTTACTTTAATTAAATAGTCATTTGATTTTATTCATAATTATTTTCTTTCGCTTCAAGAAATATTTTCAAGACATGCATTCATTAAAGGAAAACAATCATATTTTCTTAAAGTATTATACTATAATCATTTTCTCAAAATGTTCGTCGAAAGATAAATCAACAAGTACAATATTTTATTTTATGTAGAATAAAACATTTAATGAGGAACAACAGCACTCAAAGAAAATAAAAATAATAAAAGATTTGACGTAGACACATCATAAATCATCGCTAGTCTAAACATTTCCGCGGGGGGGAAACATCTGCTGCTGTATGTCAGAATCGAAACTAATAAATTCTAATGAACAACGTCCATGAATATATTCAAACTTTAACATCAAAACATGCATTCAGTGAAACAATATTATTCACAAATTAATTTAATATGCGCATTAACATTTTAAAATAACAAATTCCAATTCAAGAAATAACGTTTGGTTAACAGAAAGCCGTTTGCTTTCCTTTAATACTCTTATGTAGTATCAATAAATGAGATTCAGTAAAGAATTTACATTTGCTTTAAGAAGCAGCTTATAATAAATAATCAGTTTTTAAAGAACTTTAAACTCAGATTAAACGATAATGTAAACGAAACTTATCTTTTCCGTTGAAATTGTCCAGTTGATGATTCGATGTGCTAGCAGCACGGTATGACAATTTTAATTCCAGAATTGGTTTCCAGAATATTTGACCAGTAGTCCACACCTGAAAAAAACTGAGCCGATCTCCAGCAACTAAAAGTTAAATTAAATTCGGGAGTAAGGGCTTGTTAAAGCCAAACAGAAATTCTAAACATTTTGTTGCGCCATTTTGGATTCAAATTTAGTTGGGCGCCAATGTAATGTAGCCGTTCCTCAATAGACACTAATGCCGGCTAGCTTTAAAAGGATTTATTAACAGAGCACACAGGAACGGTTACAAACAAAAGAAATTTACATAAAAATGAAACATATACCAATTGGAACATGAAACATTAGAATAACAGAGACATAGTAAACTATCATCATGGCGGCTGGAGGTCGGCTGACGTTTTTTCATATCGCCACTAGATGGCGTTTAAATAAAAATAGTTCGGTTACAGTTCATGAGTTCATGGCGTTGAATAAAATAGTTCAATTACACTTAAATAGTTCTGTTACATCCTGATGTAGCGGTTCCTCAATAGACACTAATGCCGGCTAGCTTTAAAAGGATTTATTAACAGAGCACACAGGAACGGTTACAAACAAAAGAAATATACATAAAAATGAAATATATACCAAATGGAACATTAAACATTTGAATAACATAGTAAACTATGATCATGGCGGCTGGAGGTCGACTGACGTTTTTTCATATCGCCACGAGATCGCGTTTAAATAAAATAGTTCGGTTACAGTTCATGAGTTCATGACGTTGAATAAAATAGTTCAATTACACTTAAATAGTTCTGTTACAAGATTAACTGCACTGAAGTGACAAAAGTCATGGGATAACAATATGCAAATATACAGATGGCAGTAGTATCGCGTAGAAAATGTATAAATGCGAAGTGATTTGGCAGGGCTTTCATTTGTGTTTAAGTTATTCATGTGAAGAGGCTTTGACGTGATTATGGCCGCACGACAAGAATTAACAGACTTTGAACTGGTAGTTGGAGCTAGATGCATGGGTCATTCCATTTCGGATATCGCTAGGGAATTCAACCTTCCGAGATCCACAGTGTCAAGTGTGTGCCGAGAGTATCTAATTTCAGGCATAACATCCCACCATGGACAGCGCAGTGGCCGACCACCTGCACTTAATGACCGAGACCAGCGACGTCTGCGTAGAGTTGTCAGTATTCACAGACAAGCAACACTACGTCAAATAACCGCAGAAATCAATGTGGGACGTACGAGGGACGTGTCCGATAGGACAGTGCGGCGAAATCTGTCTTCCTTGGGCTATGCCAGCAGAAGACCGACTCGAGTGCCTTTACTTGACAGCACGACATCGCCTGCAGCGACTCTCGTGGGCTCTTGAGCATATCGGTTGGTCCCTAAACGAATGGAAAACCGTGGATTGGTCAGATGAGTCACGATTTCAGTTGGTAAGAGCTGATGGTAGGGTTCGAGTGTGGCGCAGACCCCACGAAGCTATGGACCTAGATTGTCAACAAGGCACTGTTCAAGCTGGTGGTAGTTCCATAATGGTCTGGGCTGTTTTTACATGGCATGGACTCGGTCCTCTGGTTTTTACATGGCATGGACTCGGTCCTCTGGTGCAACTGAACCGATCATTGACTGGAAATGTATAACTTCAGCTACTTGAAAATCACTTACAGCCATTCATGGACTTCACGTACTCAAACAACGATGGGATTTTTATGGATGACAATGCTCCATGTCACGGGCCACAATTGTTCGCGATTGGTTAGAAGAACATTCTGGACAATTCCAGCGAATGATCTGGCCACCTAGATCGCCCGACATGAATCCCATCGAACATTTATGGGACATTATCGAGAGATCAGTTCGTGCCCAAAACCCTGCACCTTCAACACTTTCACAATTATGAACGTCTATAGAGGCAGCATGGCTCAATATTCCTGCAGGGGACTTCCAATGACTTGTTGAGGCCGTGCCACGTCGAGTTGCTGCACTTCGCCGGGCAAAAGAAGGACCGACAAAATATTAGGAGGTATCCCATGACTTTTGTCACTTCAGTGTATATTTATTCTTTGGACTTCAGCATTTATAGCATCAGTATCTTAGCATGAAACAGTAATCGCATATAATTATAATTAAAAAATCAGAAAAAATAATTTTGAGTTATATTTGGATTTTTGTAGGCAGACTGGAGATTTTTACAGAGTAAATATTTCAGGTCAAATCTCACCTATGCACACGTTCCACTTCTTCAGCATCCTCTCCAACATAATTTCTAAATAAATCTTCACTTTCGTATTCTATAGCTGCCCTTTGTACTCCAACATACTTCAGAGCCATTTTCCTTCAGGAAGCAGTGCACTGCAAAAGCAAAGCTGGAAAGAATCTGGCTTTGGAAGCAAAGCTGGTTAAAATGCTATTTTTATTAGAAGAGAAAATCAGCAATTAAAACAATGAGTCCAAACGAGCTGTAAGAAATATGATTAATATTTTTAATTTTAATACAGATACAAGCGGGCGGAATACCACAATTTCTTCATTGGGCGCACAAGTACAATCCTACCACACTAATTGTGCAGCCCCACCGCAGTTTATTGAAGACTACCTTAGAGATTGTCCGAAAGTCTCCCACCTATTTTTGAACTTCAGCAAAGTTGTTGTTGAATGTTATGCTTCTCGCCCCTAAAATACTGTAAATTTCTCTACAGTAAAACTCGAACTAAAAAGGGGTGGATAATAAATCTTTGTCACCTAGAGGTCGACTGAATCCCATGTCTCTGCAAGTCGCCCTTTATGTTTGGGGAAGAGTGTTAAGAATTACTGCATTCTTCTGTGCTTGATCCCATGATGTAACCGTTAGCACAGTGCGACCTTGAATTACGAACATATGGGTTCACGAAAAAAGTCTTCTGAACAAAATTTGTCTTGGATGATGAATGATGCCTCGAGATACGAACAAGTAAACCGGCTATATAGTGGAAGAAATGTCTTAAAAAGAAGAAAATGGAAGGGAGGAAGTTTCTAGTTATTTGAACTGCAAAATTTGTGCAAATCGTGGTAACTCAGAGAACATTATCACTATGATTATCATTATCATTATCACCATGATTATCATTATTATGAACATTATCAGTAATAAGCAGCGGCATAAATGTTTGTAAAGACAATGTTATGTCTTGCGCTAGCAATACTTTAAAACGTAGACAGAAACTATATAAATTGAACAAAATTTTTAGCAGGAAAATAGCCCAGCGATTCCGATCCAGAGGCGAGCGGTGAGAAAAGAGCAAAAAAAAAGCCTAAGAGAACCTAAGGAAAAAATCTGATGTGGACACCACGTGACTTTTTATACCGAATCATTAAATTGTACACTATATACATTATTATACACAAATATACATTATTATTATTAATTTTGTACTTCATTCAAACTAATTTCTTTGACTTAGTATAATTTAATTAACCAATCCCTCGAGGCAAATTGAAAATGACATCAGAAATTGCAAATTTTGAAATCAAAGAACTTGGTCATTTCTTGTCGTACGGGAGTCAAATTTCTTCTAATTTTTTTTTTCATAACAAGTAAAACGTTTTCTTAAATATATGTATAGGAAACGGGAGACCGTATTAAAAGTTAGATTTTAAATTTGGCGTTGCCAAAGCATGAATATTTTGATCATTTAAAACACTTCAGTAATTGGAAGTATATGATTACGACCTACGATTGCTAAAATAAACGTGGAGTAAGACATTTATGGCAGGTAAGTGGATAGATATAATATATATCCGTGTGTGTGTGTAAAATATAAAATGCGAAACAAAATTATTAAATTAATTTTAATCAACTGCCAATATTTCATCAAATGCGCTTTGCTGCGTCACTCTGCGGCATGCTACGTCACTCTTTCCCTGCAATCTCTCTGCACTGCGACATCTGTAGCCCTATCGCTGCTCAGAATTAACACAATAAATTTCTGGCTACAAATAGCACCGAAGTCAATATGCATTGCTTTTTCGTGCTCGCCGGAATAAACTACATTTCTCGCTTCGCCTTCTTTCTTCATTGTCTAAAATGAAAACTACGTATAACGAAATTATGGAGTAGGTTTAGCACCCCTTAGTGTTTGTACCAGTTTTAAGCAAAAAATATATTGCTGAATACTTGTTCCTATAAAAAAATAAAAATGATGTTTTAACCATCAAACCAGTTGTGATTTTCCTACCAGCCGTCGTCTAAGCAACCGTCTTCTCGGCCATAACTAAATAAAAAAAATGGATTTCATCTTCCAGCAAAGACCACATCATCACGCACACACACGTATATATAGATAGAAAGACAGATAGATAGATACACATTTGGTTCTTCCAACTGCAATAAAAAAGGGGAAATGAAACACTAGATGATATAGCAGTCCTATACACAAAACACCAACGTCCTACGGCCCATCTTTTTGAATGCATATGTACGTACCTATGTTGGTACGTACAAACGTCACTTAAAAATCCCTTTTGAATCCACTTTAAATACATTTTACAATTCGTTTTCTTCAATGGAGAGGTGTGTTCGTTTCCTGGCTTTTACGAACGGAACGGAGCCCGTCGTTTCTTCGCAACGTTAGTTCTGTGGGCAGGGCTGAAATAAGGGCCAGCGGTTGAGATACTGCTTTCCGCTGCCGGCTAAGACAAAGAACATCTATACATGTTCTTTGGCTAATACCCGTCCGGTTTTACGCATGCTCTATCGGCAAGTTCTTTCGAGATGAAGAAGTGTGTAAGGTCCCAATCACATTATGTTTCGGCTACGCGGGATTTGACGTCGAAAGCGACAATTCTCAGAACCCGCACAATTCCGGGAAATACACGTAGATAAGGTTACCATTCTCTCTTACTACAAAGACTTGAACGCCAAGCAGTAATCGATTATCGCTCAGATTGGGATCACGTGATCCTTCAGAAGCAGAACTTTCGTCTGATTGGTTGTCTCTACCCGGGACCCGAGACATTTTCGGTGAGGTTTGAAAAATTCCCGCAACATTGTATCCGTCATGGACCTCCATGGTATCCGTAGCTAGGCGGGACTTCGCTTCAGGCGGGGCTCTTTTTCCTAAGAATCTTCCCGTTTAAACCAGTGCTACCCGAATCTCGTTTCTCAAAAAAGTCCCGTCTAGCAGGGACTGTAGCCATGTGTGATAACCACTTTACCCTCCTACGGACCCTGCGTGACCAAGCGTGCGGACCACTGACTCCCCTTCCCTTCTCAAGGCGATGTTGACAATCGAAAACTTCTTCAGGGAGTGCAGCCAGTATTTTCTACATACTTCAAATGTGTGTGTGTGTGTGAATATGGCAAAGCCTGGAGGGCTATCTGCCTAAGAGGATGGGATGCCTACGTGGAGGACTTTCTAAGGGAAACTGGCTCGTATACACGTTACACATGGGGAAAACCACGAAAACGCCCATGCAGCCAGCCCGTTCGCGGGATTCGAACCTCGGACCGAACTACCAGTGTTCAGCGACTTTACCGCTCGGCAGCTGGTGGGCCCCTACATACTTCAAGTCACTTATGTTTCAATAGCATTAATCTTTCAGGAATTTTCTAATTTAAAAATGGAATGCATGTTTACCTTTGAATGTTTGGTAGGCTGGAATCCATCTTGTCGTTTGCAGTTCCAAATCCCTTTCTTTTTTAGCTCTTCTTCCGCAGGAAAACTAAATACGGCCACCTTCGGGCCATTCTTGCAGTTTTCTTTGCATGTTGCAACACAGCATTTGTGTGGCATAGTAAAAAAAAAAATAATTCGCAAATGTAAAATATTCAACTACAGCGTACTACACTTTCAAACAAAAGTTGGTTCACTACACTACCAGAGCACGAGGCAGGTGTTGACAAAGTGGAGAGACGACTTTCGTGGCGTCAGAGCGTTAAAGCAACCCTAGAGGCTTGGCTTTGTATGTAGGAGGTACTGGTGCAGCTCGGCCCCCGTGCAATTGCAAACAGTCCTTTAATCTGTCCGCATGTACAAATGTCGCTTAAAAGAATCGTCCAAACGGTTTTGCGAAGGGTCAAGATGAATATTTCTTTTAAAATATAATATCCGAAATTTTCAGCGAGTGCAATACTTCCTTTACTTTGTACAAGGAAGTTAAAAGAATGTTACACATTATTTTCCAGAATAAAAAATCACACATTAGAAACAACTGATTGTGCTAACCACTTACACCATGGGAGTAAGCCCAGGAGAATGCAAGAACGGAAAACATTGCTTTCAAAAATTCTTAAAATCAATTTGGTGCTCCGGGGATCCTCCGCCCGCGGACAGATGTCCTCCCTTGCCCCCTCCACCCGCTCTAGATAAACCACTATCTGTAATACATTTAGGTGACAGAGCTTATATTTAAAAGGAAACATGCAAAACTGATTTAATTAATTATTAGCCCAAAGGAGCGTTAGCTTAGGAGGGCTATCAGTCTCAAAACGGCATTTTGCATCTAATCACTGAAAGCCTGTATCACTTTCCAAATTGCTGCCACTAAATATTATTGTCCTGTGTTATATTTAAATATTATATTTTATTTAAAGAAATTAAATAATGAAGAATCTGTATTGAATGTATATATGTTTCTCGCAGTGTGAAAAAACATAGGTACCTACAGCCGCCCAATTTTGAATAACATAGTTCTCCCACCCGAACATGGGCACTTGAAAGCGCGAATTTTGAAACTCGAATTTCTTTATTATCTATTTCATATTTTGTAAAACTTTAACGAATTTGTGATTGAAAGACTCAACGATTTCAAAACGAGCAGTTACAATACTGCACGGAATAAAACTTTTTTATCTCCAGAATCCGAGACTGTCTATCAAAAATTCTAAAGATATACTGCTTTTAAATATTTTTATCACAAAAGGGCATTAGCACAAATGCTCTCGAAAAACGTATGTGTGTGTAAATAAAATAAAAAAAAAAATAAAAAAAAAAAAATAAAAAAAACGCCCCTTTCAGCGCAGTATAAAAGCTGAAAGCTTTCAAATTTATTATTATAATTATTTTCTATATTTATCCGACCATGATCGGATAAGCATATAAGAACTTAGATTTGCAAATTCTAAGTTTCTGAAATTTGGTCCGTCGTAGGCGACGGAAAGCAGTAACCAGTTGCTCTTATATAGGAAATTTTTCAGTAATAAACCTTTTTCACGTAGGGCTACAGAGACTAATTTTTTGTGTATTGAAGCCATTTGCTCAACGACTCAATGAGCAAGGAACGGAAAAGCAAATCAATATGGTCTGCCTTTTCCTGCTCCGGATTAAGCAGCAAATTTTAAATTTCCATACTGAACTAATTTTTTAGCCTAATTTAATGCAGTGAATGT